CCCCTCCCCCTTTTCTGATGAAGGGTCTAGGCCCGAAACGTCAGCCTCTCTGCTTCTATGATGCTGCTTGGCCTGCTGTGTTCATCCAGCCCTGCCCCTTGGAATATAGTCAGATTTGGAAAATAAGCAAAACTCATTGGAAAAAGAGTACAAGAACTTGCTTTCAACGTGAGACCATATCTGCCTAGGGAGCAACTCCTTTTACTTGAAACTTTGTGAGTAACAATGGCCTGAATTTTACTGCAAAAGGCAGAACTCCAATCTCAATAAAATTGCACCAAGGGACACTCCTCATTGGTCGAGAGTGGACCTGCCGCCTAATTAGAGGTGGTATCTCCTGATTCTTCTTGGCCAGTCAGGTGGCTGCTATCTCTGCAGCCTCATCAGGAATGCTGGTCACTGCTGAGTCAGACAGGAGACATTGGTTTAAAGAAAATCTCATATTTCAGCAGGCTGAGGAGCAGAGAAGAATTCTTTCAGGAGTTTAGTTTGGGCTGTAGGAACTGCTTTTCTTCTCTTAACAAACCAACCTTTGGGGAATGTAGCCTTCAGTTCCGAAGGTCCCCAGCTTGTAAATCTGAGGGATGAGGAGGAACTGGGATCTGCAAAGATATGAGAATGCCATCACCTTGGATGGTTTCAGGCCTGTCACTGGACGCATCCTCAGAATGGATCTCCCAGACTTGTCCACTCTAGTCAAGCCCTGGTGCCGCCAGCTGGGCTGCAGCTTGTCCTTCAGAAGAGAGGAATATATGCCAATGGGTTTGGTGCCATGCTTCTGTGATGGATTGTGAGCAGTGTATGCAAGCTGTGAGATATAGGTGTGAGAATTGCAGCACTGCCAGTTGTGAAGCATACGATATTAGGCATTGTAGCAGAATTAGACCTACACTTGTATAAGTGAACATAAGAAGCCTTATTAAACATAACTATATGTCCCTTGCACACATGCTCAATAACTATTCTTAGTTTAAAAGCATAACTAACCCTTTACTCCACATAGATGAATCCTGATTGATTCAGATAGTTGCTGTGAAATGATGGAATTATGGTATATTGGGAGGATATCGTATTTGCAGATGCATTTATTGACTTTGACCACACACTCTATCTTTGAAATATACCTTAGTTTTGGGGCTTGGAGTATGACATTTGCGGTTATCTGCTCTCAGTGCCTTTCAAGAAGCGACTCCTAGTCTCCTCTGGTTAAAGGATATTTGCTTTATTTTTCACCTCCACTAAACTCTTCAATGCAGAACCTGAAAATGTTTGAATCTCCTCTCTCTGTCATTTTGCACATATAGTGTTTCCTAGGACATATTCACTTCCTGTACAACTAACTATACCTGCTCAAGCTGTAATGTACCTCATCTTTATGAGATGCAGGATAGCTTCAAGCAGTGCAGGCTATTTTTAAATAGTGCTTATTAATCTAAAGTATTGGACCTCTACTGATGTATGAAACCAATCTACAGTGCAGCTTATGTTCACAACAATCACGAAATAAACTGACAGTATAAAGTGGATGTGTGTTACCTGTTATGTTGAATAGCATTAATTTTGCAATGATCCCCATTCAATTTTCAGAATCCCTAAGTCTATCTCCCATGGGACCATGAATAAATTGTATTTTTAAAAGTTAAGCAAAAAAAAAATTAAAAAAGTATTAAAAATAAAAAAAAATTATTAACCAACACCTCTGGGGCCAGGAGTGTACTCGTTGATCAAATATTCCAGATAATCAAGAGGTCCACATAATCAATGTAAAAACACACACTAACTAATAGAAACATAATTCCACTGGTAGAAACATCACTGTTATACTTTATTTCCAGCATAAATCATTTAAATAAAATATGGCTTTGCCTTAAATAAAACATATTGGCAGAAAGCCATCTCACTCACACCCTCAACTGACTCCCATGGTAGATTGTGGTATTTGAGGAGAAATTGACTCAAAATTGAATCAACTTTGATGTTTCATGTGGCCATTCAATTGAACAACAAGTATATTTACATTGAGGTAAATTACTTTAAAAATCTATAATAATTGGACACAATAATACACTAAACTCTGCAATATTTGAGGGATACAATTTTTTCCGGTTTATCGAGAGCGCTGGTTCATAAGGTGCCAGATTTTTCAAAAAAGTTTGAAAATGGCAATGGTTTGTTTCTGAATGCCAATAAGTGAACAGCTGTTCACACTGTATAAAAAAGCTTTATAATATATTATTCATATAAGGGAACTTGAAGTCTAAGAGGTAAATCGTTTTTAGTTTTCAGTTCTGTGAAGAACAGATCTGTTTATGATCATTTCAGATAATATAGTGTTGTCTTTTTGTGTCATCTTGCTGTGCATAAATAGGCTGCAATGATGAAGCTTCATAAATATTTCATTTGCACCCTGAACTGTCCATGGAAAACAGTAGGTGTTGTGTTTAGGGTTGGAACTTCAGGAATCAAGGATCTGGCATCATTTTAGCTCAGGTGGAGACATTCTCTATCTTCATGAAAATTCTGGCCCTGTCTTTCAAAAATCTCTGGAAAAAAAGAACTTTTACATTCATATAAAACTGCTAATCATACATACTCTGCGCAAGTCCAGTTGAAGAAATTACAGGCCTAACTACATCTCTTGGAGCTCAGACAGGCATTCAGAATGAAACAATATTGTGAAATAGATATCTCACCATCTGTTCAGCCTGATTTTGTTGATACAGATGTATGATAGCCTCATTATGAATGTTTGGTGCTGTTCCCTGTCTGACAAATATCTTAAAATTTTGAACAGGGGGGTAGTTTTTACACAGCCTGAAGGGGACTGCTTGATTTGTTTGATTATCAAGCAGTCTTATGTGCTTCGAGCAACTCAAACTTTTTTTAAAGAGGTTTTCAAAGTCTCTTCAATTAGACAAGATGAAGAAATGCTGAGTGAAATTAACTTTTCATCAATGGGGCTTCTCCTGCTTATACTTGATGAACAATTTATGTGATTGTATGTGTATCCATTTTAAAACACCATTTGAACAGCTTTTTAAAAGTAAAATCTGAGTACTTTAATAACTTACAAATGTTATTATACAGCACAATGGCTGTGTATCTCGTGTATTTGAAAGAGTCCCTCGAAGAGTCAACAGATGTCAAAACA